TATATATATATATATTGTATTTTTAATATGTCCTGATTCATCAATTTTTTCTTTTCATCTGGCAGAAACGTATTTAGCTAATAGATAGTATAATAATATATTTTAAGGGTACTGTGACTATTGAGTGTTGAAAATAGAACCCCAAATGTAGATGAAATTATGAAAAATCGCATGTGTCTTTTCAATTTGTCGCCACGTTCCACCGTTTTTGGCGTTGTTCATTTTTCCCTCATCTCCTCGGGCGAAATGACAAACACGACCCCTAGAAGAGCATGCAGGTGGGCGGAGGGTGAGACAAAAAAAATGTGTCCGAGTGGCAATTGTCATCTTTAGATACCTGCGAATCAAAGAAGCTATCATTAGCAAACCACCTGCGGCCGGCTACCAACGCTCGGCCCAATGCTACAATTTACTTATCTCCTGACCGAGGGCAATTTTTCATTTTCGTCTCCCTAAGGCATTTTTCAATTACAGCTATTACTTGGTTATCCGATGTCAGGTCGAGGGAGGAGAATGACAAATTTTTATAACGACCGTCCCGAAGAAATGCCAAATCTTTGTGTACTACGTACTGAGTTTCGTTGATAGACATCTCAATGTATTTTAATTTTTTTACGTAATAATTACTGACTATAATTGAAACACTTTTACAACAAAAGTAACAATATTCCGTGCGTTTATTTTACCATGGATTACCAGAATATTTTCATGACTGATCATAAGCACATAATAATTTTCCAACGTTATTTTTAATAGTCATTCAACAAGAAGAAACAGAAAAAAATCCTACGAGGGTAGAATCTGCCTAAACCTAGATAGTCATGAATGGTTTTCATGGAATATGTTATTTTATCTTATATGTAAATATCATTAGTGTAAATATATTCATATGCAACACAAATATTATTTATGGAAGATAAACATGATAATACTGGCACTATTTGCCTGATATATAAGTTGAAGTAGCTGATTATTAAATTTAAACATTCAACTAGACGTTCTACAAGATACGTAAATAAATAAATAAATAAAAGAGAGAGAGAGAGAGAGAGAGAGAGAGAGAGAGAGAGAGAGAGAGGGAGGGAGAGAGAGAGAGAAAGACAGAGAAAGATTGAGAAAGGGAAAGAGGGAAAGAAAAAGGAAGAGAATGAAAGAAAGAAATAGAAAGAGAAAAGAAAGATAGAGAAAGAGAGAGATGCAGCGAGAGAAATCCTTAAAGATAGGTAAATAAATAGATAAATGGACAGATAGGGACAGGGACAGACTGAAAGAGGGAAAAAGGGAGAGACATAGAGATCAGATACAGAGAGGGAACCAGAGAGGGAGCCAGAGGAGAGAGAGAGAGAGAGAGAGAGAGAGAGAGAGAGGGAGAGAGAGAGAAAGAGAGAGACGTAAAGATATGAAAATAAATAGATAAATGGACAGATAGGCAGAGACGGAGAGAGATTGAGAAAGGGAAAGAGTGAAAGAAAAAGGTAGAGAAAGGAAGAAAGAAAAAGTGAGAGAGAGAAAAAGAAAGAAAGAGAGAGTGAGCGAGGGAGAGAGGGAAATACAGAGAGAGCGAGTGGGAGATAAAGAGAGAAAGAGAGAGAGAGAGAGAGAGGGAGAGAGAGAGAGTGAGTGAGAGAGAGAGAGAGAGTGAGAGAGAAGAGAGAGGGTGAAGAAGAGCAAGATAGAATGTAAATGAGAAAGAAAGGTAAAAAGAATGAAAGAGAGTGAAGAAAGATTTTGTAGGTATGTGGTTCTTTTCGTCTTTAACCGTTCCAAAGTTTATTCGAAATTGTGTTTTTGGTTTTTCAAAAGAGGACGAAGTTTGATGGGTTGGACCAAATTTTTATTTTATTTCCAACCGGGGTTACAACTCCTACGCGACTGGTGCCTCATTATGAATTTACCTCCCTCAGGGCATATATTAAAATAAGTCATTAATAAACTTGGACGAGGTGAAAGAACAATGGTTTCTGGTAAATAAATTCAGTGAGCACTGGGAGTAGTAGAAAACGCCTTGAGGGAGTGGAAGGAGGAGCTTAGGGTTCCCTAATTTAGTCAAGGAAACGCGGGGGTGGGACTTTGGGAACTGCCCGCGGCCCCTTCTCCTAGTAAATAACAGGTTGGAGAGGTCAGAGGGCAACCCTCACCCGCGCTTTTCCCACAGTACTGCACGTCTGTCTGCAGGGCTCTTGAAGGGGGGCAACTGGAAAATTGCTCCACAGTCGTAAACTCGAGACGCGTGCGATGTGAAATCCGTGTTCTATTCCTCTGGAGGAAAAGAAAGGCCGGGATACCAATCGTCCTCCTTTCTTAATGATTCCCAGATGGCAGTAACCGAGCGATTCTGTATCTCTACCGCTATCCTTTTCCCATTAATCGAATCCTCTTATGCAAATAATGCCAACGTCTTTATTATTCACCTTTGACATTTCACACTCTTAAGCGACGTGCCACTCTTTCGTTCAAATAACAATAATTTTCGGTGGACATTCAGCACGATTCCTACCGATGAGTCGTTTTCCTCACGCTCAATGTAGTCTATGCAACGTGACGCTTAAAGGTTTTTTTTAGACGAATTGGATAGCAATAATCACAGTTTAGAATTGAAACTGGAATTCCAAGCGGTGAAAATCTCCTAGTCTAGTGTTGTTGAAAGGGTACACTTCGGTTTCATCCATCCTGCCGAAGCGCTAGCGAACTATCTTTTAGTCGCATATAGTTTAGACTAAAATTCATTATTAGATAGATATATAGTTAGATATATCGGTAGATAAATAGAATATGGAAAGGTAGTTAGATTGAGAAAACGCTGAAAAGTGAGAGTACTTGAGAAAGAGAGACAAATAGCTTTTCCATAAATACATAGCGAGATAGATAAATATGTAGAAAGGTAGAGATAAACTGAAAAAGTGACCGCGAAAAATATCAAGATAAATAGTTAGATAGTGATAGAGGTAGATATATAGGTATATAGTTTGATAGATAGAACGGGGGAGAGAGAGAAAGAGGGATGTATATAGATAGAGGTAGGTAGATAGGAAGATAGATAGGAATAGTAAAGATGGATAGATAGATAGAAAGACAGACAGACTGATAGATAAATAATTATAGGAGTAGATAGAAAGATAGGTAGAGAAGGAGAGATAAAAAGAGATAAATAGATAGACAGATAGATAGTTAGCTAGTTAGATAGATGTGTAGTTAGATATGTAGATAAATAAAGAGGTATTTAAATAGAAAGATAGATAGAGATTGTAAAGAAGATCTATAGATCGAGGAAAAGATAAAGAGACAGACAGATAGATATGTATTTTGATACATAGATATATGTATGTAGAAAGATAGATATAGATAGTACCCATAGACAGATAGAGGGAAATAGAATGCATTTGTCCCATAATAAATGTCAACTGCAGATGTCAAAAGACAATTTGGACTTTTTCCCGAGATTATTACTGAAAATACAATAGAATAATAATGAAAATCATTAGTTTGGTCGTTTTTGACCATTTTGACCTGGTGGGCATGAGGGGTACAAACAGCTGGGGCGATACAATCTGGCTGGGTCTAGGAAACCAAAATAGGGAGGATAGGTTGACCAAAATTACGGCAAATTTACAGGTTCA